TTACACTCAAGCCCAGAATATATAGAATGGTAATCTTTTTCTATAAAATAAAACAAAACAAAACAAAAAAATCCCTATACATTGTGCTTAAATTTTTCTGAGGTATCTCACCAGAAGAGGTAACTCAACTAATGCAAGAGTCAGATATCCCAGGCTTCACTGGCCTTATTACATGTAAAAGTGCCTTAATACTAATTAAACTGTATTGATTTCAACACATATATTAAGAATATTTGTTAGTTCTGGTTAAGACAGAAGAGTATGTGGACACTGCACTCACATCCTCTAATGACCATATGAAAATTACAACTAAATTTTACATCAATCTGAACAACCATCTCAAGGCCAGCTGAGTAGAAGTCCTCTAATTGAAGATATAAAGAAGAAGCCACATACAAACTGGTAGGAGGGGCAGAGATGCAAACAGGCTGCCCCCCATACATGTGTGGTGGTTGAGAATCCAGAGGGAAATCTCAGAATTGGAAGACACCCCTGCCCTGAGGAGCAAGGGGTCTCAGGTTCATGCCTGTCTCCCCAACCCAAAACACTAGTGCTGGGGAAAAAAAGCCCATATAATATCTTGCCCTGAAAATCAGTGGGGTTTCTTCCATCCAGGTAAGAGAGAAGGTTGCTGGAAACCTAGGCATCCTCTTAAAGTGCCAGCACACAAACTCTCACAGGCACTCATGTTGGGACAGTGGCTTAGGGGGGTGCCAGACATACAGAGAGAAACTGAGTTGTGTGGCTTAAGGGAAAGGACTGCAGGGAGGGATGCCCTGTTCCTGTACTGAGCCCTCCCCTCACATGACCAAATCTGAATCTGCATTAGCCAGGTGAATTCCATAGCTCCACCCTGCTGACTCCCTGCGACCCTGCTCCAGGCCCCAGTCATGTGGTGGCCATCCTCTGTGTACCCTGAAACACTTGTCGAATGGCCTCAGGCCCAATACTGGCAACAAAGCAGAATCTGTATTAACTTGGTGAACATCACAAGCCCCACCCTGGTGACTCCCTGAGACCTTGCCTCACCTAACTTGCATTCTGCCTGAGGCTCTTTCAGAGGCTGATCCTTGCAGATAAACAGCAGGCAGTCGCAGGTCTTTGGTTTTTTTGCTGACCTGCACCAGGCTTGGAACTAGAGGCAGAAGACCTAGGCTCGCAGCACGGTCACTCCCACATGCATCCAGGCCAAGCGTAGGCAGCTATCAACAGCAGATAACTTTGTAATTGTTAACAGGCAGCCACAGGTCAGTTACAGACAGTGTTACACATTGAGCTCCACCTGAGTCCCTCCCAAGGCATCCCAGAACCAACATACCAATGGCTGGTTTTACAACATGACAGAGCATCACTCAACTATTTGCACAAGCAGCACAACCAAAGGGAGGCATCAGCAGGCACCAGACCCCACTGAGGCAATTCCTGCTTTGAAGAGTCAGCCCCCACTTAGGAGCTTGTATGCTGTGGTTAAGGCCCATCCTTACCACCAGACAGCCAGAGGAGAGAGACAACTAAAGAGACAAAGAAGCATATCTTAAATAAAAGAACAAATCTCCAGAAAACAAACAAAATGAAATAGAAACAAATGACCTTTCAGATACACAGTTCAAAAATCTTTGAAAGAGTTCAAGGAACTTAAGGGAAGAATAGATAAAAAATACATAAAGTGAGATTTATTCCTCGGGTGCAACGTTGGTTCAACATCTGCAAATCAATTACTGTGTTACACCACATAAACAAATTGAAGAATAAAAAATCATATAATTATATCGATAGAGGCACAAAAAGCATTTGACAAAATACAGTATATATTTCTTGATAAAAACTCTCAGCAAAGTGGGAATAGAGAGAACAAACCTCAACATAATGAAGGCCATATATGATTGTCACAGAGCTAACGTCATACTGAACAGGGGAAAACTAAAAGCATTTTCTTTAAGATCAAGGACAAGACAGTGTTGTCCACTTTCACCACTTTTATTCAACATAGTATTGGAGGTTCTGGCTACAGCAATCAGACAGGAAAAATAAATAAAAGTCATCCAAATTGAAAAAGGAGGAAGTAAAACTGTTATTTGCAGATGACAGAAGAAAACAGAAGCAGTTAACTCTTTGACATTTCTCTTAGTAATTATTTCCTGCTACATCATTTTGGGAAACTGAAACATTAAACAAATGAGACTATATCAAACTGAGAAGTTTTTGCATAGCAAAGGACATTATCAACAAAATGAAAAGACTACTCACTCAATGAGAAAGCATAATTGTCGATATGTCTGATAAAGAGTTAAATCCAAATTTATAAAAAACTCATATAACTCAACACCCCCCCCAAAAAAAATCTAATTTTAAAAATGGGCAAAGGCCCTAAATAGACACTTCTTCAAAGAGGACATATTGATGGCCAATAAACATATGAAAAGATGCTCAACTTCACTAATAAAAGATACACAACTTAAAACCACAATGAGATATGACTTCACATCTGACAGAATGCCTATCTTCAATAAATCAACAAACGAGTGTTGGAGAGGATATGGGGAAGAAAATTCTTGTGCCCTGTTGGTGGGTATGCAAAATGGTATGGTCACTATGAACAGCCATATAGAGTTTCCTAAAAAAATTAAAAATAAAACTACCTCATAACCCTTCTATTCCAATTCTGGGTGTATATCCAAAGAAACCCAAAACACTAATTCAAAAAGATATATGTACCCTTATGTTCAGTGTAGCATTATTTACAGTAGCCAAAGTATGGAAACCACCCCAGTAGCTATCAATAAGTGAGTGGATAAAGAAAAAGTGGTATATATATGTCATGGAACATTACTTGGCCATAAAAATAAAAAGAATGAAATCTTACCATTTGTAAAAACATGGTTAGACCTAGAAAGTATTATACAAGTGAAATAAGTCAACAGAGAAAGACAAATACCATATGATTTCATTTATATTAGAATCTAAATAATAAAACAAAACAGAAAGATACTCATAGATACAGAGAACAAACTGAGCCTTGTCAGATGAGATAGGGGTTGGGAATCTGGGTGAAAAAAGATGAAAGGATTGAGTAGTTACAACTTGTAGTTGCAAAATAGTCACAAGGATATACAGTAAAGCATAGGAAATATAGTCAATAGTATTATAAAAAGTATGTATGGTACCAGGTACATATAATTATCAGGAGATCACTTTGCAAATTATATAATTGTCTAATCAATGTTCTGTATACCTGAAACTAATATAAAATAATATTGAATGTCAACTGTACTTAAAAAATAAAATAAAATAAATTAAAATAAAATAAAAAGTATTTATTGATCAACTTCTGGGTGGTCATTTTTTGTGACATAGATTCATCAGTTAAAGGTCACAATAAAGCAAGGTCAGCCTGACCAAATTGAAAATCAAGTGTAAGATCATGGTAATCATTTTTTAAATCAAATATCCAAGCACATAGATCTGTGGAGGATTAGAAGGATAGTTCTTAATTTTTAATTGCTATATGATAACAAATATCTTCTGAAATCTATGTAGAAAAAGGACCAACTTGGGGAAAGTACTATATTCTAGGGCCAGAAGAAAGTAGGTAAAAAATATAAGAATCTCTAATGGTGATATATTTTTAACAACAAAATTAGGAATCTGATTAAAACCTTGTGTCATTTATTTTGCACTTAAAATGGTAAAAATCCAAGCCATAGGCATGACTGTGTAAAGTTTCTCATGCCTCCATCCCCTCCTCATCTCATGTCATCTTTTCAATGGTTTGTAAGATCTAGCCACACTGTTCTTTCAATTAAAAAGCATACAAAATTTTCTTCTGTTCTAGAATAATATCCATGTTTGTTTGGATTTGCTTTTGTTTTAGGTTTTAGTCTAACTGTTTAAATATTTTTTTTCCTTTTTATTGAATTTATTGGAGTGATAATAGTTAACAAAATTATACAGGCTTCAGATGCACGATTCCACAACACATTATCTGCACACTGTATTGTGTGTTCATCACTTCATGTCGAGTCTTTGTATATCACCATTTATCTATTTCCCACACCCATCTCCACCTTTAGCATTCCCCCCACCCCTTGGCAATCACCACACTGTTCATGTTCATGGGTTTTTTTGTCTTTCTTTTTTGCTCAATTCCTCCTTCCCTGCAACCCTAGACTTCCCCTCTAATTGCATTTTCTTTTTAAAGAAAGCTTTCTCAAACCTTAATATAAATTAGGTTTCCTTGAATACATTATCTCATAATGGCATATACAGTCTTCACAGCACTTATAAATATTTGTATTTCTGTTTTTGATGTACTCAATTGTTAACCAAAATTATTTTAATTGACTGTACACTGTAGAAACTATGAACATGATTGTTGTGTTCACTACCACTTGATCATTAACTGACACAAGGACTACTATCTTGTAAGCACCATTTAGTCTGTTTAATGACTAAGTATTTACTGACATAAAGGCCATCTCCTTCTTGAGAATAAATATCACCTTGCTATGTGTGTAATGCCAGAAATTCCTAGCACATTACTTATACATTGTTCTTAACATATGAAAATTGGTAACAGTTTCAAAATAAACACCAAGAGTCATTAATTAGCCAGTATTTATAGAACCCCTACTAGGTGTTTGAAGGTGAGTCAATATTATATTTGGGGATCTCAGTTTTCTGTTCAGTAAAATTAAAATATTGGGTTAGATGATTATCAAAGGTTTTAGGCACTTATATTCCTGATTTTTAAAATATTCTGCTTGCCTATGAATTTCAATTATTAAAAACAAAAATAATATTCTGCATACTAACTTCCTTCAAAGATCCTGTTAATTAGAAGAGTTAAATAGCACAATTTTAATTTTATCATAAAAGTTTGCAACAGATTCTCATATTTGAGAGAAAAATGCCTGCATAATATTGAGAATATGTTTGAAAATATAAGATAAATATAGCTTTTGACAAGACTTCAGAAGCTTCATTAAAATTAAAATTAGTGGAGCTTTGTGCAGTGGCAGTATTGTAGCCAATGAGGTTTATCTGAGGGGTGATTATTGCTAATTGAAAAATTTTCGCAATACCCTGCCATGACAACTTGACATACAGTCAGCATTGATAATTTTTGACAGTCCCTATGGAGACTGAATTTTAAAAAAATAAATACATAAAAATTAAAATTGGTAGAACTGATATTTGAATGTCAAAAGATTTCTAAGGTAACCATAGCAGTTTTCTTGTGAAATAGAAAAGGAATTCTGATTGACAAGCTTGTGTTTTCTCTGAAAGGGTTTGTCTAATAACGACTTTTTTTAATCAGATTAATATTTCTTGATGATATTGGGCTATCATATACACACCTATTGTCAATCAAATTTTAAGTTGATACTTTATATTTTATTCCCAAATTCAGCTAATAGAAAACCATAAAGACTAGTATGTTGAGGAATGATGACATATTGTTCTCTCAAAGTAAAAGTAACAGATAATTTCTAAAATGAGAAAAGATAAAATTAATAGAATACATTTTGACGTATTTTATTTAAATTTGGATGTCTTTAAATATCAGTATTTATAGTGGCATTCCAAAGAAAAAAATAATGTCTTACTTGAAGGTAAAAATAAAAGATAAGAGAAACAGCATCATTAACATCTCAGAACATTTCTGTACTGCTTTTATTAAAGGTGATGAAATAAATTGTACATTGTTCCTCGAATATAAACTTATTTACAAAACCCTCAGGCATTGTTAACCTTTATTAATACATGTAACTTTAATTTATATATGTGAATTATTTTGCCTACTTAATAATATTGTATATACAAGTCAACAAATGACAAGTGATTTAGAATAAGAAATCAAATATATTTTTATAATGTATCTATATCAATATATATCTTATATGTAACTGAAAATCTTCAATATCACTAGTGTAGAAGACACAGATCACATGGCAGAAAAATTTAATTCTCCTAGTCTTTCCAGATTGGACTGCTTGGGTTCATTTGGCTGTTTTGACTATGTAGGACAAAATTTCTTTTTTCTAACAACATATTTTAATTTTTCCATATAACATTTCCTATATGGAACCTTATCTACGATAAATGGGTAACTTAATGCCCTGCAATATAGAAACAAATTCAATACAGTTATCGGATATTATTATAGCTGTCTTACTCCACATTTTTAATGTGTCTTTATTTTTTTCTTTACTAGAGACAAACATCCAAAGCAATAAATTTAATATTATAGGGGCATATGAGAGTGTTATGAGATTTTCTCCCAAACTATCTCCTTTATGAAAACTGATATTCATTGTACTGCTGTGTTCTCCACCTGAGGGGATGGTGAAAAAAATGGAGGGGAATCGGGCACTTGGAAAGGGGATGGAGAAAGAGATTGGTAATTTAAGGATGTTTTCAAGTATGTTTAGCTCTCTTTACTTTTTTTTTTAAGAACTAAGTAACATATCATCAGCAAGATGACTGTGAAGTATTTTCAAGTAACCAATAAAATGTTCTTTTTCCTTTGAGATTATGATTCCATAAACAACTGCACTTCTACTTAGCAAAGTTATCCAGTTGATCTTTCAGCGATTCATCTGCATAGGCTCACCTGTACCATGGGCGATTTCTGTAAGGTCAACTTGAATTTCATAATGGGACATGCATATGTTGAATTCATAAGGATTTGGACAATTGAAGAATTCCTCCTACGGGCAGAAAGGCAGGGAATATTGGTCAATATCTAAATATTCCTTGCAATCGCATTTGGTAGGAAAGAAAACTCTTTCAGCTTTATCTGTTTCATACAATCCAAAAGTTTCTATTTCACTGCAATAAAGAAGTATATAAATTAAACTATGAACAATCTTACTTAGATAAGAAGATAGCTCTAATGTAGGTTAAGCCCCAGAACAAGAGATAGAGTGTAAGGAAAAAGGATGTTGAGGACAAAAATAACTAGTATTAAGGTTTCAAATTGAAGCATTGCTCTTAAAAATTTGACATTTACCCATATGTGATGCCAGGGCCACAGAATAGAGAGTGGACATTATATTTTTGTTGTTGCTGTTCTGTTACAAACAATTAATTACAAATTTACATAAATGAGAGTCTTGAGGACCAATTAGATTCTTGTGATCTAGAAATGACTCTTTTAACTCTTGCTCTTGTTTTATGATGGACAGTGTAACACATTCACTTGCTTTTGAGAATAGAGACCATTCCTGAGGATCATTCTTACATCATTGCTTGTGGTAGAATGTATACTTTATAATTAAATAAAACTTGATTATGTCAGGCCAGTTCTTAAGTGAGTGATACTTACAGTACCAAGAGAAGATGAAATAGATGGAATGGAAAGTCTCAGTTAATGAGCACCTTGTTCTATGCTTTATTAGAGGACAAACTCATTCAACTTTATCATTACAAAAACTCTTAGAGAAAAATATTATTGTCTGTGATTCAAGATTAATTAAAAAAACTTAGAACATGCCACGGGATGTCATAGATGAGTTGGGTTATAAGTAATGGCAGACATGCATATGGCTGCACCTCCTCTGCTCCTGTGCATGAAATTGACACATGAAAACAGAGGGTTGTAAACATAGTACATGTCAGTGTGCCTTCTTGCAGAGGACACAGTAGACGATGTGGTGGAAGCAATTCATGCTTAGGAAGTCCAGTGATTAGACCAAGTAGTGTTTACTAGGTATTTCAGAAGGTTGATAGTGATGAAATAAAGCTATATATGCCCTGAAATTAACCATTGCTTTAAGAACTGTGAGTGTTGCTGAAGGAATTTTATGATTTGGGTGGTCATAAGGCAAGTCACAGTTATATAATTATGATTCATTCATTACTAACTTTATTTTATAAATGAGAGATTTGAGTATAGAGTAAGTGAAAAGGCACTTAAACCTAAATTCAGGCAGTTCAGGCTCACAATCTGAAGTCCACAGAGTCACTACAGTCCATGTGCCACATTCTAATGCAGGTAAAATGGACTTAAACAAAATAAACACTCAAAAAGTAAGTTTCTATTATTATGGTGACGTGTTGTCAAAACAGTAGAAAATGGAGAAGTTTTTTAGATTACTCTAGACAAGAACAGCTAATAAAATGACTAGTTTAAATATTTAAACATGTTATATTTGTGAAAAATCCTGAATTCTATATTTATACTAAACTGTGGTTATCAAAGTTTATGTGAAAGAGCTCACAGAAATAACTCTTTTAGCATTTTATAGAAAAGACCAACAATAATGTTATAAACTATGTATACTTTCCAGGTCTGGTGAGTTTATGATTGACATTGCATGTTCTCAGTATTTCATGAAAAGCTACAAGTATGTGTGTGTGTGTGTGTGTGTGAATTATACACACACACACACACACATATACACACGCACACAAACATTTTTAAAGATTTGTATTACTATAGAAAGTAAAACAACATAGTTATATCTAAATCAACTGAGTCCACTGAGTTTCTTCTAAAACAGCATATAGAATTATTCTCTATAGAGACAAAGTAAATATAAGTCCACAGAAAAGATGTAAAAGAGATGAAATAACTGTCATTCTGCCATTAACTAAATGCACTCAAAACATTGCAACAGAAAATACTAAAAGTATACCAGAAAGAGATTTATGTATTTAGGAAGGAAATAGGAACTATATAAAAAAAAATTTCAGGAAGGTATTGAAGAAGTAGTTACAAAATGGGAAGAGAGTATATAGCTCAGATAGATGCTGTTAATTTTATTTTTCTGGTTTTATATATTGTGTAAAATAGGAATTTATAAAGAACTTTGGATTAGTGATATTTATCAGCATTAATAGTTTGTTGCATGTGACCTACACAAGAGCCGGTCTTCTGGAGCAGAGACAAAATCATTTAAAACAAAAGCCAGTTATGTTTATGCAGATACTTTTAGGAACAAACCCTGCCAACTAATCCAGAGGTTGGACTGAAAAAAAAATAGATGCTGGTTAATATGAACTTATTCTTTTCAAGATGCTGATTACAATTTTCCAGTATCTGTGATTGTAAAAAAGGAACAAAAGTCATCAAGAATAATTGTATTCTTACTTTAATAAGGATGTGCCAGAAGAGATGGAATATAAATCAACAGGGTCATAATAAGAAAATCATTTCATATGCTATCATAGCATACATATTTCTTTGCACAAACTAATATTGATATACATATATATTTAAATATATCCCCAGGGAAAAGGAAAGTGCTACTTTAGCACTGTGAGTTACAACTTCCATTTCATTTGTTTCAACCCAGGCAATTTTCAAGCAAGTATGCCAATAAATTTGTCTTCTAAATCTGCATAAATATTTGCTCTATCTAGTTTCTTACTCACATTGTGTGCAAAATAAAAAATGTCTTCTGAGGGCTGGCTCAAACCATATGGGAGGATGAAATAAGATAAAACCTATCACAAAGCTACCAGCAATTCATAGAGAGAAAACATTCACCTGCCTAAAGCAATAAGACAAAGATATTATAAAGTTTGCTAATAGCATGGTAACATACCATATTATTGCTCTTTTGTTGCTGTAACGCACTATCAAAAATTTAGTGACTTAAAACATAGATTTATTATCTTTCAGTTCTGGAGGTCAGAATTTGGAAATAGGTCTCAGTGGTCTCAAATCAACATTTTAACAGGGCTACATGCATACCCTCTGGATGTTCTAGGAAAGAATTCATTTCCTTACCCTTTTCAGCTTCTAGAGTTCACACAACAATCAACATTTTTTCTCTATCATCAAAGCCAACAACAGCAGGTCCAATTCTCATATCAAATCACTCTCATCTTCCTGTTCTCTTCTACTTTTCAGAAACTTTTGACAATATCAGACCTACATAAATAACCTAAGATAATCTCCCAATTTAAAGGACATCTGATTAGCAAACTCAATTCTCTCTGCAACCTCAATTCTCAGATGTGTAAGATAAAATATTCACAGTTTCATGGGATCAGAGTTTGGACATCTGTAAGGGTTAATAAGTTTACTGTCAGTACATTTAGTAAAACTTCAATAATGGAGAAATCGATATTTAGGGAAATCTATGTAAAACAACATAAAACATATACTATGCTTGTCTATGCATAAAACATA